ATTATGATTCATTGCCCACTGAACTTAAAGACTAATTCCTTCAGGTTGAATTGCCTCTGCTGTGATCTTTCAAGGTCTGTGGACCACTTATATTCTGTATAATCCAGGTCAAAGAGCTGCTAGAAAGAAAGCTAGAAACAAATGTTCTCCAAAAACAGAAACATTGAGAATAATAAAAAAGAAAAATGAAAATTACATGCCTCTTTGTTCAAAATCAATGTATTTGTATGTCTATAGAATAAAGGCCCACAAGCTGAATTCAACTCTTAGTGACTACACGAAGAATGCAACCTTCTCTGAGATATTCTTTCAATTGTCCACAATACCCTAGACACACACACACACACACACACACACACAGCATAAATCAGGTTGATAAATGTATGTAGTACATTTATATGCTATCGTTCAAATTTCTCTGTCCGTCTTACAAGAATACATAAATAATATATAAAATTCTCAGATGCTATGTTAAAACACTACAGCTTCTAGCACTCTAAAAGTCCCAAGTAAACTGTTTTAAGCCCTTTCCTATGCGGTAAAAAGGAATGTGCTAGCCTCAACACCAGTAAAAGTAACATTTCATACTATGTACGATTCCTATCATAAAAAGGCCATCTCTCCCTCCCTCCCTCCCTCCCTCCCTCTCATTTGACTTTGGATGCTCCCTTAAAGCAAAAAACCTTGCATTGAACTCAGAAGGCAAGTGGCAATTAATATTGTTGTTTCAACATAAGGGTCTTCCAATGCCACTTGTTACCTTTGCTGCCGCCTTCTTGACCAGCTGCAATTTCTGACAACCTTCTGTGGTTACCCTACTAATTACACATTTTAGAAACCAAATCTTGAGGTTATTTGCACATGTATCACTGAAAGCAAGTTTCCTGTTCTAGGTAGAGACATTATCAGTTAATCATCAAAAGCTGGGGAAAGGCTCCACTTGCCACTGTTATTTTTTTTTTCTTAAAGTCATTTATTATCTTCAGGGTTTCAACAAAGCTATAGCATCTGGGCCTTCATGTGCTGATGGCTCTGCATTCTTTGGGGATGGGGGTAAGGAGGGGATGCTCCGGTCATTTGCTCACTCCTGCTTCTTCGGATTGTTGACGGCCACGTAGTGATAAAGGACGACCAGGAGAAACAGCGAGACTCCAAGCATATTGGCAAAGATAGCCCGTTGCACGTCCGTCACCATCCTCTCGGTTTGGGCAGCCCCCCCACTGTCCTTCTTGTCTCTTCTGAAGGCTCAGGCCGGTGACGTCAAGGCACGCCGCTCTTTCCTTCCGCTCTCTAGAAAAACTGCGGGGAAAAGGGGAACGGAGCCCCCACTTGCCACTGTTATTATCTGGATGTCCAGTAACCTAGACCATGAACAAAGAACAGCTGAGTACATGTATGTGGAGGTACATATACACAGAGTAATCAAATTTACATACTGATAAGTATGTGTGGGTGTGATTGGCAAGCCAATTGAAGTATGCTACAATTTAAGAACCATTTTTCCCCTTTTTTGTCATTAAAAATGTTTTTACTTTGTTATATTTAGGAATGTAAGCCAATACAAGGAGAACGATTTGAGTTCTTCAGAAACCATCTTATTATGAAAGATATAAAAAAAGATGATGGGGGAAAATATGTATGCAAAGGAATCTATACTTTTAAGGGAAATAAATACAATTTTTCAAATAGTATTTTGGTGACATTATTAGGTACGTATTTGTGTTATTAGTAGAGTTGTAATTTGCTCCTATGTTATCTGGGCAACTAATGTTTTCCACTCTTTTTTCTGTCTGCTTACTTATATTTATTTTACCATACTTCAAAAGACATTTAATGCAGTTTTCAAAATGATCATGTTATATATTCATCTATCTAGCAATTGGGACACGTGTTGTGCCATTGTTATTATACACATAATCTCAAACAACATTTAATATTCCAAATGTCCTTTTAATCAATGTTAGTGTATATAATGAATGCAACTGCAGGGGATAATTCAAAATTAAATATGGTTTACAACAGATTAATCCTTTTTTATTACAATTTAAAGTATTAGAAGTTCAATTGTCATGCCAGCATGAACATTGTTTAAATAAAAATTAGTTGTTTCTTTTTATAATCTTTGAGATAATAATGTATTTAGATAAATCAAGCTTTATCATAGGTGTTATCTTCTGTTGCTCTGGTTGAGGATGGGGAATTACAATAATTAGGCATCCTGGATTGTTTGTAAAATTTGGTTTTAATTTTTGTATGCCACCTAACATCATTGTTTTGAGATGGGTGACCATATACAGTAATTATATCTATATATGTATACACACACAGAGTTTATATACACCATATACACAGTGTGTGATGTATGTGTGTAAATTATCAGCAATGCAAACAATAGTTCCATGTTCCAAACATACTTCTAATACAAAGGGTTTTTGCAATCTCTACATTTGTTGTAAAACCTATGCTCTTGCACTGAAGAATATGAAGAAGCTGATTTCTTTAATGCCTTAGGGATGGTAGTTTAGGGGCAAGCACTATTATCCATTTAAATATTGGAAATAACAGTACTGACTCTTCTATCAGTCTGCCCTTCGTTAGGTTGTAGCAATAGCAATAGCACTTAGACTTATATACCACTTCAGAGTGCTTTACAGCCCTCTCTAAGCGGTTTACAGAGTCAGCATATTTGCCCCCAACAATCTGGGTCCTCATTTTACCGACCTCGGAAAGATGGAAGGCTGAGTAAACCTTGAGCCGATGAGATTCGAACTGCCGAACTGCTGGCAGCCGGCAGTCAGCAGAAATAGCCTGCAGTACTGCATTCTAACCACTGTGCCACCTCAGCTCAAAGGGAAAGAAAGTAGTGACGGCTATTAAATCAGTCTTGTTAAAAGACTAAATCCATCATGATATTCCTGAGCTGCATCCAAGCTGTTCCCACATCAAAATGATTCATAAGAATTGCTTTAGGCCATAGGCATCTCTT